CCCCCTCCCCCCCCCGTACTGCACAAACTCAACGATTCACCTCAACTTCTTGGTAACTTGATGTTTCAACTTGGAGTTGAAAAGCGTTCAGCCATGATCCTGAGCCCGCAGGGCCAACTTCACGTGCACAAACCGTAGTTTCAACGTACATTTATACTGTTACGATTATTATTAGGACGATCGGCTTGTATTTTCTGAAACCACTCTATTTTTTCGAGGGATAAAATTAAATTTATTCTTCCTGCCAAGGTTTTTTTTATATCTTCACATTTTTTAAATTGTTGTTCTATAGATTTGTGACTGGAATTTCCGATATATTTTTTTTTAATTCTCATGGTATTAGAGTTGCAGTACAATTTTAAGGCATTTTTTCATTAAAAATTGCAAATTGATAGGATCTTTAAATATTTTCCGATTTTTTAAACTGCATTTTTAATATTTTTGACTGTAATTTCTGGTTTATTCCTTGAAAATTCTTATTGCGGAGTTCCACGGAAATTTTAAGGAATTTCTTCACTAAAATTGCAAAATTTTGTGGAGAAATCAATGAAAACTGTGAATTGCAGTGCAATTATTCCATGAAAAATGATAAAAATGAGAGAATTTCATGTAAATATATTCTTGAATTTCCAAATAATTGAAAAATTCAGTAAAATTTGGGAATTCTCGTTTGCCTGTTGCTAAAAAATTAGGAATTTCATGGGATTTTCAATGAATTCTTCCAATTGAATGATTTTTCAACAACAACCAAACACCAATCTCGCTGAACTGTTCCCCCAAACATTTATCCGAGCCAAAATGGGCATGCGATCACTGCAAATAAAATTTCTCCCTCGCATAATGATTGCTCCTACAATTGAGTACTTGTCTCTCCCGAATCTCCGTTATTTCTCGGAATAAAATTCGGCCCTACGGGTAAAAATTTTAAACCCACGTGCCTGGCAGACTGCCACGCAATCTCGACTCGTTTGACATTTTTTTCCTCCATTATTTTTCCTCCTTTTTGATTCACAAAAAAAAAAAACAGGGAAAAATGTGTGGAGATAGAACTGTGGAGGGGGATATTTTTGAGAAGAGAGTCTACCTCTGCAGGAAGGACTAATCTATAAAAGTGCCAGTGATATAGGTCTGAACGTGCCCCGATTTTCTACTCTCAACTACCCGCTGTGTCCAGTGTTTCTCCACGTGAAAGGAATTGCTCATGGATACAGTGGCTCGCAGGTGGTGGAGTGGGAGTTTAAGAGGGAGGGGGGGGGGACAATTACCACTGACCAAAGGAGAGTAATAGCCGGTTGGATCATCCGTCTCCAGCTCCCATACACCACCAATACGTTTTACACTCATCTTTTATCCCCAGAATTAAATTCCACTGAGAGAAAAAATGATTTCTCCCAAAAAATTGCGTGTTTCCCTGAAGGGATCGTTTGTCGTGTTAAATTAATTTATTTGTGGACAAAAAAGAAAGTATTCATTAAAACATGACCATTTTCATCGCAATTTTCCGTGCCAAATCCCAGAAATTTTTATCGTATTCAATTTCCACTGAGATTGGAGGAAATGTTGGCATTGAAAAGTCAAATATTCCACTGATTTTCTGTTCGAATGATTTGAAAATCAATGAAATAGTTGATTTTTCTGCTCAATTATTCCGTGAAAATTTATACAAATCAAGGAAAAATGGAAATTTCATATCATTTTGTTTTTTAAAATTAATATTTCATTGAAAATTCAATCAAGTTGTGAAATTTCCATGGAACAATGATAATTGCAATTAAAAAAAAAATTTTTTGTCTTCCCTCAAGTAGATCTATTCCACTCCTTCAAATACTCTCACGTGGAGGCTAATTTTTCCCCCTGTGTATTGACAAAAAAAAACATTCCAAATTAACGATTTGTCGACCAAAAAAATATTTATGAATTACAGCCCTGTCAAGTGCCGAGTGATTATCGCGCTGAGCAGTGCGCCAATTTTAACAATATACCGTACGGCGGACAGTTGTTGAAGTGGTATCCCTACTACGACGAGTCCAAGCCATGTTCTTTGATCTGTCGCGGAGTGCAGGTGGACAAAGCTACCTCGGAGGCATCGCCCAGGGAGGCGTTGGACAAGTCCGAGGAAATTAGAAACAAAATTGATGGAACTGATGGGGGATCGATTGATACCGGTGAACTCGAGTCTGATGAAACTTTTGTGGTGCAGTTGGCTGATAGAGTTGAGGATGGGACCAAGTGTCGGGAGGGGAGTGCCGATGTTTGCATTGGAGGGAGCTGCATGGTGAGTGAATTATTCAATTTTGTAGATGTCGAGTTAAATTTCCGTGCACGGAGAGAAATATTCAGTAAAAATTACGAAACAATTCATAATATTACTAAAGTAACGATTGATGCCGATCTATGATTTCCACAAATAAATCACCAGCGTCTAAAATTCCACGCACCATCCAATTCTCCTCCCCCAATGCCCCCCTCACAAATAATTCCTAAAAAACGTAAAAACAAAATTTCCATTCCATTACCCTGTTTCATCCACTTCAATCACCCCAGTCCGTCCACGTCAACAAACCAACTAAAGAAATTACCATGAATCAACTAAAATTCCAACAATATCTAATCAACGTTTTCCACTTTTCATGACGAATGTCTGGGCAATTAAATTCCATCCAAGCCGAGGTCGGTGAACGCTAACTAGCTTTGCATTATTAAATGGATGGGTTCCTCAACTCTTCGGGATTGCCTAGTAAAAGAAGATTCTCACGTCTGCGAGAGAATTCTAAAGCACTCAACCCCAAAAATGCCGACCCAATTTCCGTGCTCCCCTCGAAGTTTTTACTTAATAATTACGATGGATGAATTGAAATATTTCAAGCCCTTGCACTCCAGGGTGACAGGTTCAATCAACGCTGAATTTGTCTCGTGAATCCACCCCCCCC